TCGTCCCCTCGTTCAGCGTCAGGGTCACCCTAGGGTCACCGCAGCTGACCGCGGAGGGGGTGGGAGCATCATCTTCCTGATCTCCTGCACCGGCCCTCCTATTGGAGTTCGTTGTGAGGTCCTAGGCGCCTTAGCAGCAACTGGTTTCTTCGCATCCTTCTTCTTTATCTTGCGTTCGACTTCAAAGGCGATTAGTGGCATTGCCCGGAACCGTGGTTGTCTTTCTCTGCCTTGTTTTCAGACTATGACGACATTCCTGTAAGCGTTCTTCCTGGATCCTCATTAGTGAAGGCCCGAGCTCTTCGAATTTCCTTTTGAAGGCAGAGAGTTGCCTCCCCTCCCCCCGGCATTCTCCTTAGGGTGTCCCAGCTCTAAGGTGGAGGCGAGAGCTCGTAGAAGGCCGGAGGCCATCCTTATTAAAGTAGGAGAGGGCAAGGAATGGCTTCAGGTGTATAAAGATCTCATGGTGATCTCCCGGCATTCGTAGAACAAGAGCTGGGGACATCTTGATAGAAACGAGGGCTGGCAGCGAGGTGAAAGTAGCTGCCAATAAGATAAACGAGCTTATTGGCGACAAGGTGCGAGCGACGCCTTTACAAGACAAGGTACATGAGCGAGCACCGTGCGTTCTCCTAACGGACACACCCGGTCTTTCCTGATTGCTCTTTCCGCAGGACCTCGATCTCCTTCTCTAGTACCTCCACCCGCATCTTCGCCATCCTGGCAGCTCCAGTGCCGTAGGCGAGCCCCGTTAGAGTTATTAATCTGGAGCAATGAATCTAAACAGAAATTAAAGAGCTACTTGAGGCAAGCTATAGAAAAACATGGAATTAACAGAATTAAACAGAATTGGCTATCAAAGCAACAAGTGCAACAAATATCAGCCATGCTACAACTTATCAGCAGCGCATTAATGCAAAAATAAATTAATGGATATATTAAAGATAAGAGCATGGGATGCTAATGGGCTACAAAAGAGAATACATGAAATAAAAACAATTTGTATAATACATTATACAACAAATAGAGTTACACAAAAATATCACACTATAGTGTATACTCATCAGGAAGAGCACATGGAGGTTCAGCAATAATAATTAAGAACAACATAAAACACTACCTCCATAGCCAAATTAATCAGGGTCATATAAGTTACAACCGTCTCAGTACAAACAAATACAAATTCTTTCCAAATTTCACCATCGTACGCATCATCAAGATATAAAATAACACTAGAATACTGGAAGTACACTCTCAGAGTAATATTAAGAATAATAACCTTAAGGTCAGCTGACGAGCTAACTCACTGATCGGCAGAACTCAATAAAACACTGGATGTGTTTGACTTTGCAGTCACAAATGATACAAATCTAAACAAACTAAGAATATCAGAAAACCTAAGTATCGTCTCTCATCATACCTCAATAGTTATTGAATATAACAGCAAACGAGTCTTTTACAGTAAGTCAACATCACTCTGCAATAAAACAATTTTATCATTTTATTACTTATTTATATGTCGGAGGAGAGTCAGGAACAGGGTTGTGGGCGTTTGATAGACCTCCCTTGAATTTGGCCATAGTTGTGTGATAACGAAGACGCGGCCTGATGCTACGAGTAGGGACACTAGTGACTCGACACTTGCGATGTGAGCGACGTTGGTCTTAGGTCCGGTAACGAATCCGCGGTCACCGGGAGGAGAGATAGACTGACACTCACTCGAACGTATACTACTCGCGGATCAAGCGGTGTTGGTCCCTTCGTCGATGAGATCTCCCAAAGGAATGAATGTTCGTCCCAACGTCACCACCGAGACAACCTCTTGTAGTGTATCTAGGTACGCCAGCTCCTCCGATCGGCGTTGCTGTCGATTGGTCGATTTGGGACAAAAGCTGCCTGTCCGTTTGCAAAAATCTTAATTGCCGAAATCCCAGGTTTTATAGCGGGACTCCAGGCTGGCTGGGCTTGTGCTGTGTACGTGCCTCCACATCTGGTATTCGTTGTCCGAAGGGACCGTTGTAATGTTTTACTGTCAAGTACCTCTACGGGTGTTTCTTTTAATGAGGGTCATACTGTAACTCCGCGCCTTTGTTGGACGGAACGCCCGTCCCGTTGACAGCGGCTACGTTCGGCGACTGGTGGTCGCCTTAAGCCCAAGTTTATTATCACAAATCGGAAACAAGTACAATTGGGCAGGATGACGGCAAATTGTTTAATTACAACTGTAAACTTTAATTGCAATTTTACGGATTTTCCCGAAGTTCCAGAGGGACGGCTCCGGCGTCCTTTCGTCTCCGACATATATATGTAGCGATTTACGCATGCATTATTAGGTCTTTATTAGAACGACAGGCGCTCAGTTTGATGAAAGGAAGATTATGGTTCGTATATAATATTATTTAGTTCAACACACTATAGTTATAGGTAATTAGGGCTATTATGTACCTATATATTTGTCGGAGATGAAAGAACATCGGAGCTTTTGGAATAATCCCGCAACATTGTAATCTAGAGTCTACTATAGCTGTGATTAAACAATTGTAGTTACTCAATCCGATAGTAGTTGTTCGCGAGTTGTGATAGTGAGCTTGGGCTCGGGGCGACAGCCAGTCGCCGAGCGTAGCCGCGCTCAGGGGATGAATGCTTTGTCTAACAAAGGTATGGAGTAAATCCATAGCTCTCCTTAAAAGAAATATTTGTGGCGGCACGCGACAGTAAACGGTTCCTGTCTCTATGGAGATTGGTCAATTAGTAGCAACGTTAATTTCCCTCACCTTCTGAACGAAGGCTATCCTCGACGAATCCGATGATCTCGTGTCCGAGGACACGCCCCATCATAGCTTTCCTCTGCAGCACCATCGCGACGGAGAGTCATTCTCTCGTAAGGTCGTATTAGCGAGTTACTTTGTGTCTGTACGCTCGATGGGTATTCCACGTTTTCGTAAAGAGTCCGACTTAGATTTTTGTGAGCACGTACATCTATCATCTTGTTGACCGCGGATTCGTTATTGAACCTAAGATCAACATCACTAGTATCGCGCGTGTCCAACCGCCGCGGTTGATTGTCGAGTCGTCATTCTCTCTCGTGAGGTCGTATTAGCGAGTTACTTTGTGTGTGTACGCTCGGTGGATATTCCACGTTTTCGCAAAGAATCCGACTTAGATTTTTGTAAGTACGTTCATCTATCATTCCGTTGACCGCGGATTTGTTATTGAACCTAGGACCAACATCACTAGGATCGCGAGTGTCCAACCGCCGCGGTTGTTTGTCGAGTCGGTAGTATCCATACTTGTATTAACAGACCGTACCTTCGTTATAACCCAACGATGGCCAATTCCAATGAAGAGATTTATCAAACGCCCACAACCCTATTCCTGACGCTTCTCCGACATGTATTTACAAAAGAGGTTTGAACCTACTCCTGACGCTTCTCCGACATATATATTAAATACTTATAAAGAATTTATTTGTAGATTTTAAATATGAGTACTAGATCAAAGAATGAGATTAAAGCAATGATTACCAAAGATATATCGAATATACATGTCGGAAATGAAAGGACACCAGAGCCTTCCCTCTGGAACTTCGGGAAAATCCGTAAAACTGTAATTGAAGTTTACAGTCGTAATTAAACAATTTGCCGTCATCCTGCCCAATTGTACTTGTTTGCGATTTGTGATAATAAACTTGGGCTCAAGGCGACCATCAGTCGCCGATCGTAGCCGCGGTCAACGGGACGGGCGCTTCGCCTAACAAAGGTGTGGAATTATAGTATGACCCTCATTAAAAGAAATACCAATAGAGGTACTTGACAGTGAAACATTCCAACCGTTCCTTCAGACAATGAATACCTGATGTTGAGGCACGTACACAGCACAGGTCCAGTTAGCCCCAGGACCCACTATAAAACCTGGGTTTTTCCGGCAATTAAGTTTTTCCAAACGGACAGACAGTCTTTGTCCCAAACTGACAAATTGACAGCGACGCCAATTTCCCTTACTTTCGAAACGAGGGCTATACCCGACGGATCGGATGATCTCGTGTCCTTAGACACACCCCGTGATAGTTTTCCTCTGCGGCATCATCGGAACGGGAAAGGCATTCTCGCTCGCGATCTCATCGATTAAAGAGTAACATCTTCGCGATCAGTGGTTATTTCACGTTTTATTAACAAAGAACCAGACTTGGACTTTGTGAGTACGTTATTTTGTCATCCCGTTGGCCGCGGATTCGTTATTGAGCCTGAGACCATCGTCACTAGTGTCGCCGAACCGCCGTGATCAATTGTCAAGACTGTAATTATTCTATCATTGCAATAAACTACACCTGTGTGTACTGTACCAATGGCTAATTCTCGAGAAGATTCATTTGACGCCCACAACCCTACTCCCAGTGCAAATCTGACATATAGATACTATTATAACGTTGTTAAATACATTCTAAATTTTTAGAGGAAATGTGGAAGCCGATTTAAAAAAAATGTAGGTGGTAGAAGTAGTTCAGATGAAAAAAACACACAAGGTCCTACAAAACATAGTAAAACAGAAAAGAATGTTTTAAGCGAAGCAATTTCAAGGAGGATCGCTGGTACTTCACAGATACACAGGATTCAAAGATTCGCAGGATCATCTTTATATAGTGGAAGATGCAATACAGCCAGAAAAATGGAACCATTAAAGTCTTCAATGACAACAAGAAATAGTAATATAAAGAGAACTTTTTCACAGAGTGAAAACACGGAGAGTAAAAATTCTAATACTATTGATGATACAGTAATCGCACCAACAGGAAATGATATTGAATAACTTTCAATGTGCGAGAATGCACTTGAGATATTTACTTCTCTTATGAATTCCACGATGGACATCAATTCTACTTGTACGCAGAAGATTAGATTAGAATCTTTATCACCAATAAAATTAAACGAAACTGTAGTAATTAATAAAAACTTGACTAGTAGTATAGGAAAAAATAATGAACCTAAATTTACATCATCGTCGTCAATAACATTGCAGGATAAGATGCAGCAGATAAAAGAAACGATGACAAACAAAGAGTTTGATGAATTACTCACAGAAGATGAGTCATCCCCTGAAGCGAAAAAGTCTGAAGCAAATATTAAGAAACAAGGAATTAAAAAACGACAAAGACGGCAGAACAGATCTATGACATCGAGCGAAGATGCGATACTTAATACTCCAACAAAACCATCTTCAAGGGAAAAGAATACAATTACAGGATTCCAGGAAATAAGAAACACGTATAAATCGAATGCTCTATTGGATCCATATATCAAGGTATCTGTAAAAAAAAGAATTGAGGCATTTGAACAGGCAGACATGAACAGTCCAAAACTTTCTGTTGATATTGATGCACCAACTAGAATAAGTCGAACAAAAACACGAGAATAAAACACTAGAGCTGCTGCACAAACAGAAGCTTCGGAAAATGCAAAC